AGAGCCTCAAGCTGTCGCCCTGGATAGAGTGTCATGGCATCACAGCTCACAGCAACCTCCAACTCCTGGGCTCAAGCGAGTCTCCTGCCTCCACCTTCCAAGTAGCTGGGACAACAGGTGCCTGCCAATGCCTGGCTATTTTTTGGTTGCAGCCATCATTGTTGTTTGGCAGGCCTGGGCTGGATTCAAACCCACCAGCTCAGGTGTATGTGGCTGGCGCCTTAGCCGCTTGAGCCACAGGTGCCGAGCCAGTGTTTCTATTTTTAGTAGAGACAGGGTCTTGCTTTTTACTCAGGCTGGTCCTGAACTTGTGAGCTCAAGCAATCTACCCACTTCGGCCTCCCAGAGTGCTAGGATTACAGGCATGAGCCAATGCACCCGGCCTATGACTTCTTTTCTTTTGGGTAGATACCCAATAGTGAGATTGCTGAATCAAATGGCAGGTCACTTTTCCCACAGAATTTGTACTAATTTAATTCCCACAGAAAGTGCTCCATTTTCACCACATCCATGCCAACATCTCTCTTTTTTTTTTTTTTGAGACAGAATCTCACTTTGTTGCCCTTGATAGAGTGCCATGGGTAGCTCACAGCAACCTCAAACTCTTGGGCTTAAGCAATTCTCTTGCCTCAGCCTCCCAAGTAGCTGGGACTACAGGCACCCGCCACACTCCCGGCTATGTAGTTGTCATTGTTGTTTGGCAGGCCCAGGCTGGGTTTAAACCTGCCAGCCCCAGTGTATGTGGCTGGTGCCCCATCCGTTGAGGGAAAGGTACAGAGCCTTAGTCATAAATTCTTTTCCAATACTAGTGTCCAGGAGTTCTGCCTTATTTTCGTCTAGAATTTTTATGTTAGGTCTTGCATTTAAGTCTTTAATCCATCTTGAGTTAATTTTTGTGTATGTTGAGAGTTGGGATCCAGTTTCATTCTATTGCATGTGGCTCTCTTAATTTTCCAAGTACCTTTTCGTGGAATAGGGTATCCTTTTCCCAGCTAGTTTTACTTCTTATTCTGTTCCATTAATCTATGTGTCTACTTTTATGTCAGTATTATGCTGTTTTGGTTACTATAGCCCTATAGCATAATTTGAAGTCAAGTAACGTGGTATCTCCAGATTTGCATTTTTTTCTTTTTTTTTGGCTTAGAATTGCTTTGAATATTTGGGCTTTTGATTCCATGTTAAATTTAAGATTGCTTTTTCTTATTCTGTGAAAAACAGTATTTTGATGGAAACGGCACTAAATCTGCATGCCACTTTGGGCAGCATGGACATTTTAACAATATGAATTTTCCAATCCATGAGCAAGGTAGGTTTTTCCATTGTTTGTGGTGAATAATATTATTTCTTCCATCAGTGTTTTTGTATTTCTCCTTGTAGAGATCTTTCATCTCCTTGATTAAATATATTACTAGGTTTTTTTTTTTTCCAGCTATTATAAATAGTAATGAGTTTTTTTTTTGAGACAGAGTCTCATTATGTCACCCTTGGTAGAGTGCAGTGGCACCACAGCTTACAGCAACCTCAAACTCTTGGGCTTAAGTGATTCTCTTGCCTTAGCCTCCCAGGTAATGAGTTCTTAATTTAATTCTCAGCTTCAGTGGGTTTTATTGGTATGCAGAAATTCTAGTGTTTGGTATACTTTTGCATCCTGAAACTTTACTGAATTTATTTTTCAATTCTAGGAGTCTTTTGGATTTTCTAGACACAAGATCACCTTTTGTTTTCCAGTTTGGATGTCCTTTCTTTCTCTTGCCTGAGTGGTATGGCCAGGACTTCTAGTATTACCTCCACTGAATAGAAGTGGTAAAGATAGAATTCTTGTCCTAATTCTTAAGGGGAATGCTTTCAACTTTATCCCACTCAGGATCATGTTAGCTATTCGAGTTATGTTCCTTCTATCTGAAGTTTTCTTATGGGTTTTTGTCATGAATAGGGCTAAATTTTATTAAATGCTTTTTCTGCATCTACTGAGGTGATCATCTATTTTTGTTTGAATTATGTTCAATGTGGTGAATCACATTTAGTGACTGGCACGTGTTGAACCATCCTGGCGTCACTAGGATGAGACCCTCTTGATTGTGATGAATTATTTTTTCCCCGTCTCGCTTTTTTTTCTTGGTAAATCTAGCTAAAAGTCTATTAAAGACTTTTATTTCAAACAACTGTCTTTTGTTGATCCTCTGTGTTATCTTTTTAATTTCAATTTTGTTTTGTTCTGCTCTGTTCTGTCATTTCTTACCTTTAGCAAGCTTTGGGTTTGGTTTGCTCTTGTTTTGCTAGTTCCTAGAGATGTGACATAAAGTTATTAAGTTGTGAGCTTTCTGTCTTTTTGATGTAGGCACATTCAGTGCTACAAATATTCCTCTTTTGCTATACGTGAGAAATTTTGGTAGCCTGTATCATCACTATCATTCAATTCAAAACAGTTTTTGATTTCCATCTTGATTTCATTTTTGATCCAAATATCACTTAGCAGAAGGTTGTTTAACTTCCATCTATTTGTATAGTTTTGAGAGTTCCACTTGGAATTGATTTCTGGGTTAATTCCACTGTGTTCTGAGAAAATACATAGTATGATTTCCATTTTTTCAAATGCTAAGACTTGTTTTGTGGCCTGACAAAGGATGTTATTTTGGAAAATCATCTATGTGCTGATGAGAAGAATGTATGGTCAATGTCTGTTGGGTCCATTTGTTCTAAAGCCCCATTTAAGTCCAATGTTTTTGTTAATTTTCTGCCTCAATAAACTGTCTAGTTCTGTTCGTGGAGTACTAAAGTCTCTTTACTATATTATGTTGCTGCTTATTTCATTTCTTAGATTAGGAATATTTGTTTTATGAATCTGGAACAGCTCTAGATGCGTATAACTGTGTCAGATGTATATTTAGAACTGTTATATTTTCTTGTTGAATTGATCCATTCATCACTATATACTGACCATCACTGTCTTTTTTTTTACTATTGCTGATTTAAAGTTTATTTTATCTAAGAATAGCTACTCCTGCTTGCTTTTGGCTTCCATTTGTGTGGAATACTTTTTTTCCATACAGAGACTGTATGAGTTAAATGAATTTCTTGGAGACAGCAGATCCTTGGGTTGTGTCTTTTAGGTCATTCCATCAATCTATATCTTTTAATTGGGCCATTTACACTGTTTACGTTCAATAATATTAACATGGGAAATCAGTCATTATGCCGATTATTACCTCGTTGCATGTTACTCTCCCTGTGTTACTAGCAGGTATTGACCATTCTTTTCAGTGTTTAGAGAACTTTTGAGGATTTGTTGTAGGACAGGTCTAGTGGTGACAGATTCCCACAGTATTTGTTTGGGAAAAATGTTATTTCTCCTTCATTTATGAAACTTAGTTTTGCAGGACACAAAATTCTTGGCTGACAGTTACTTTGTTTAAGAAGACTAAAGAAAGATAGGACCCTACTCTCCTCTGGCTTTTAAGATTTCTACTGAGAAGTCTGCTGTTTCTGATGTATTTTTCCTTTCTAAGTTACTTGATACCTTTGTCTTGCAGCTTATAGGATTTTCTCCTTTACTTTAACTTTGGCCAGACTGACGATTATGTCCTTGGTGATGTTAAAACTAAGTTTGATAGGCGCCAGCCCCATATACTGAGGATGGTGGGTTCGAACCCAGCCCCAGCCAAACTGCAACTAAAAAACAGCTGGGCATTGTGGTGAGCACCTGTAGTCCCAGCTACTCGGGAGGCTGAGGCAAGAGAATCTCCTAAGCCTAGGAGTTGGAGGTTGATGTGAGCTGTGACGCCACTGCACTCTACTGAGGGCAATATGGTGAGACTCTGTCTCTAAAAAACAAACAAACAAAAAACTAAGTTTGATAGTATTTCCCTGAGTAGGCACCTGACCAAACTATGTGAGGGTAGGGGTGGGTGTTAGAGGAAGTAGAAAGAATGGAAGATAAGGAAAAGTGCTTGACTCCAGTATTAATAGTAAGAAATGTTAGTCTATTACCAAATAATCACAACTTTTCCTTTAAAGGGAGTAGGAGGGGGAAACGGAGCAAAAAGAGCAGGCCAAAGACAATGGTGTTTGTTGGTTATTATTAAAATAATGTTGATCCATGGAAACTTTAGGAAGAAATAGAGAAGAAGCCTGGCTCTTCTTGGAAGGATCTACATTAACTTCAAATTAGTAAAATTCTACATTTAAGAACAAAAAACTCAACTTAATTTCTGTACATTTGAAGTCAGTATAACTTACCTTTCTACCATAAAGACACTGAAAGAAGATAACTCCAACTGACCACACATCAACCTTGTTGGAAATCTTTGGAGGCTCTTTTCCAACTACAAAACACTCAGGAGGTAAATACCTATAGATTTTTTTTGGAGGAGGGGGAAGGAAAGGTTATTGTTGACAATCTATAACTAAAAAGCTTCTAAATGTAAAATCTTAGAACATTCATTTCACACATACATAAACATCAATTAAATTTCTGAAACATTCACATTCTTTCACCATTTAACTTTAACCAAAATGTACAACCTTATGATAAAGTATATCTGTATCTAAATATATATCTATATAAACAAAAAGTTACTGTTAGAGATTACAACAGTCTAACATGAGTAAGTACCTAATAATGTATAAGAATTCCTCTCCCATCCTTTTTAACCACTATTAAAAAGGTAGGCAGTTCTCTTTAAAATATACATCTGATCATGTAGTTCTTTTACTTAAACAACCTCAATAGCATTTATTGCCAACAAGATCTTATGTTTATTTTTTAGACTCATCCTAACCAAACCAAACCAAAACAAACAAACAAAAAAAGACTCATCCTAACCTAGCAACCACACAAATTTCCCAAATTTGCCCTATTTCCCCTATCCCAACCCCCTAATCAGCTAGTCAAAACCAATTCACTTGCTTCTCCACATTGGTCTTCCTTTCTCCTCTGTGCTTTTTTAACACACCAATCTTTAAAAGGCCTTCCCTAATCATTCCAATTTACTTCTAGAGCATCTTTTCAAAACCTAACCAACCTCCATAAGCCTCCTCTACTTACTACGTCACCAAAGCACAGTGTGGTGCCTCTATCATAGCATTAAAGTATAGTAGAAGTAGACTGGAGCATCTCAAGAATCTCTTATTCATTGTGAAGTTTCAAGCACTAAGAGTATCTGAGTACACTCAGTATTCAAAATTACTATTTTTAAATCTTCTAAGTACTATTTTTAAGTTCATAATTTTTTCAGATTAATATGAGAGTGCATATGACTAAACTATTTGCATTGTAAAGTCAAGTCCAAAATCTGCACTGTAGTTGAGTCCTTCACCCAATAAATATGCCCTGTATTTACAAAGTTCACTTTCTTTTTTTAAGACAGAGCCTTAAGTTGTTACCCTGGGTAGAGTGCCACGGCACCCTAGCTCACAGCAGCCTCCAACTGCTGGTCTCAAGCGATCCTCTTGCCTCAGATTTTCTATTTTTAGTAGAGATGGGGTCTCACTTTTTCTCTGGCTGGTCTCAAACTTGTGAGCTCAGCCAATCCTCCTGCCTCAGCTTCTCAGAGTGCCAGGATTACAGGTGTGCGCCACCACACCCAGCAAAATTCACAATTTTTGAACTTTTATAAATAAAAAGTTCCACCTGAGATACAAGCATTCCATACCTCAGAAATTTAGATAAACTGAAAATCCTGAAAAGGAGTAGTAATACAGCTAAATGGATCTACTCTTTTTCTAAAACTTTCGTTTTGTACTGTACTAAAATTACTTCAGCAGTATGCTGACTGATCTCCTACAAAACACACGAAACTTCCCTGAAGTATAACTGCTACTAAAGATGATCCATAAACTCATTTGTAGTAAAAATCCTTTACTAACCCCTAAATCAACTAAAAAGATAGATTTGCTTTTATTAGTAAAAGCATATATTTTGTGGAGGTGAATACGTTAAGTGAAACAAGAATGATCTTTTTTCCTTTTTTTTTTTTTTTGAGACAGAGTCTCAAACTTTCACCCTAGATACACTGCTGTGGTGTCACAGCTCATAGCAACTTCTAACTCTTGAGCTGAAGTGATTCTCTTGCCTCAGCCTCCTGAGTAGCTGAGACCACAGGTGCCTGCCACAACACCTGACTATTTCTGTTATTGTTATTGCTGCAGTCGTCATTGTTGTTTACCAGGCCTAGGCCGGGTTCAAACCTGCCAGCCTCGGTGTATGTGGCTGGCGCCCTACCCACAGAGCTGTGGGCACTGCCCACAAGAATGACTCTTTTTGTTTGTTTGTTTGTGAGACAGAGCCTCAAGCTGTATGTAGCCCTGGGTAGATTGCTGTGGCACCACAGCTCACAGCAACCTCCAACTCCTGGGCTCAAGCTAGTCTCCTGCCTCCACCTCCCAAGTAGCTGGGACCACAGGCGCCCACCACAACGCCTGGCTATTTTTTGGTTGCAGCTGTCATTG